AACTTTCCGTGATACAGCGCGGGGAAGTAGGGGAGAGTGGGGCTGTTTGCACCACGGAGCAAGATGCACCATACGAGATATTTTTTACATTTCTAAGAATTTATGAGTGTTGATCACAGATAACGTTAGTTACAAAGAACACCTAACCTTACGCAAGTTCATTAACGCGCATTATTTTTCTTGATTTTTCGACTGAGAATTGAAATCAGCCTCCAAATAAAAGTGCTAATTTTGGTCCTGCCTATTTTTCAAAAAATGTTTGCTGTTCTTTCGATATGTTTTTTTGATTTTAATGAAAGTAATTATAACGGTAAATACACTTGAAAACAAAAGTTTCTATGATAGTTATATGAAGTAAAATTTTTATTTAAATTTTGCTAGTTTTTGGAAGATACCCCACAGGTGGTGCAAGACGCCTTATCTGTGGGGCATCTTGCACCAATAGTGATTTTTTAAAATGCTAATTTCATGAATAGATCATTATATAACGTGACGTATATACTCTTGAGTCATAAAAGAGTAATAGCTTTTTTAATTTATCGTATATAACGTATGAAATGAATGATATTATAAAAGTTATTACAGTTTTTAAAAATGTGGTGCAACCAGCCCCACACTCCTATACTTTATGTAAAAAAAGTACTGCTTTGGTCGCTACGATTCCGGCCAACTGAATGATCAAAAAGCAAAAAAACATTTTAATGTGTGTCACTGTAGCTACAAGGTGAACTAGGATTATTTTAAAATATTGAAAATTAAAAATTTTACGCGACTTTGAATTTGTATTTCTAAAAAAGAACTCAATTTTTGGCCTGTTTTGTTGTATAAAATAAAAACGACGTGACCTTTTGCTTCCTCGTGGAGGAATCTTTGTAGTCCTTTCGTTTATAAAATTTTTAAACATGGTGGAAACAAATTTTCCTCTATATAGAAACATGTTAGGGTAAGTGCGGGGGAGTTGGCCATAGTTTTTTTAAAGGTCTGTAAAAATAGAAAGAAAGTGATTTACGTATTAACTTTTACTGCTACTTAAACATTGAACATTTAACTTACAAATAATAATAGAAATGAGACATTTTTTAAATGCAAACAAACTTAAAATTAATATTTTTTAAAAAACGCGTTTGGCCATCTCTCCCAGAATCTACGGGGCAGATGGCCATAGGCGTACGGGTGAGATGCCCAATACTTTAAAGTTTAAAATCAATCTTTAGCTTTCGCTTTATTAAAATTCTTAATTTAAAGGGATTAAAGTCTGTCTGTCTCACCAACACAACAAGGTTACAAAGTAGTTTTTTGAGATATCAGAGTGGTTTCCAATGTATTTTTATGTCCTAAACACGATTCCGGGTTCCGAAATTGCGTATCACGTCAGGATTTTGAGTAAAGTGGGGGTAAAGATTTTCAATATTTTTTTCTCCTTAATCTGACGTGATAGAAACTTCTATATAGGCTTAAATTAAAGCTTATATCTTACACTTTAAGACACATATGCGCAAGATAAAAAAAATTGAATTTAAAAAAAAATTAGGTTCAAGTCACTTAAAAAGATTTTTGAGGTCATTACCCTATATAGAAGTCTCTAGCACGTCAGGTTCAGGAGAAAAAAATACTGTAAATACTCAAAAATACAGTTTTTGGAGACTTTACCCCCACTTTACTTAAAATCCTGACGTGATACGCAATTTTGAAACCCGGGATCGTGTTCAGCAGGCATAAATACATTGAAAACCACTCCGATATATATATATATATATTAACGTCTTATTTTGTACACCTGTTTTATGATTGTTTATAAATGTAAATATAAATAAATGATTTAATTACACAATAGTGATTATTTTATTTCACCATATTTAAATTTGAAAATCTTTGTTGGAGTGTCTTGTTGCAATATATGTCATGAAAAATGTAATTTGCTACAGAATTAATGTTTATTTAGCGAACACACGAATCTCAAGGGTGCCAAGAACTTAAACAGTACGGTCATCTCACCTCGAAAAAACATGGCCATCTCTCCTAATGTCAGGAGACAAATTGACACAACTAAAATTTAAATAAATAAATTTTTTGAATAAATATAAAGTTATGACAAAGCTTGGGTCATGTACTTTACAAAAAAAAATGAAATTCAAAATTATTCTATAAAATAACATAACACCAGTGAGAAACATAAACTCATCACTTTTTTTCAGAACTAGTCAAAATAGCAAATCAATTTTTTACTTACTTTTTCAATATTTTTCGTGAAGTTTTTTCTTTTAATTGTGTTTTACTATAAAACAAAGCGAATTAATCTTTAATAAGCGATATCTAGCAGCAAATTCTATAAATTATTTGAATTGGCCATCTCTCCCGCATGGCCAACTCCCCTGGACTTACCCTATATAAGATCCTGATCAATTGTCCGGATGTATGTGTGTGTGTGTGGATCGTTTTTGTGAACACGATATCTTTAACAGGTTTTAATGGTTTTGGATAAAATTTGGTAGGCTTATTTATCACATTAATCTCTCAAAAATGACGAGAGGATTTTAAAAAATACCCCAAAAAAAATTATCGTCTTTTTTCCAAAAAAATTTTTAAATAGAAAAATTTAAGGTAATATATAATATACACTGGAATGCCGGTTATTAGGAGACTGGATTATTCGGAAAGCTTAGGCGCTAAAACGGGGTGAGGAGAAAAGATATCTCTGCACGCAGTAGCGCATTTATTAAAGATTCCGTTCCCCGCCTTGATTTAGTGTATTATTTTGCAATTATTTATTGGTGTTATATGAATATGATAAAAATTAATAATCTCTGTGACAATTTTGCTAAGTAAAATTCGTTTTATTTCTAAAAAACAATTAATATTTCTCACTTAATTAATATTTTCTTTTCTCATGTCTCATGCGCCTAACCTCAAAATTGTTGTTCAACTGTCAAACTTTGGTTATGTATTTCAATCGAAGGCAAAAAAAACTTCTTACGGCCCTGTAAGTTTATGCTTTTTCGTCAAGGTGACCTTTCCAGATTATTCGGACATACACCCCAGCTGTCCTAATAACCTGCGTTCCAGTGTAATCGTCTTCCTTACATCAAGACGAATCGATTGGTATATATAAAGTATAGATTTGATTGAAATTTAAAGAATTAATGAAAGTTAAAAAATCAAAAATTTACATTTTATCTAAAAAATGTTGTGTTTATTAAAATTCAAGTTTATATATGAAATAATTTTATTCCCTGCATTAAAACAAATCGATTGTTATATATAAAGTATAGATTTGATTTAAATTTTAAGAATTAATGAAAATTGAAAAATCAAAAATTCATGTTTTAGAGCTAAAAAAATTTGTTTTTTTAAATTCAAGTTAATGCATAAAATAATTGTATTCCTTGCATTGAAACGAATCGATTCGTACATATATATAAAGTATATGTTACACCCAAAATGAATTAAAATTTTCTTAATTTTTCAAAAAATTTAATTAATTTAAATCAGTTTTTAACTCGAAATGTTTTAAATCAATCAATTGATTTAAAGAAATTCATAGCTTCCTCCACAGGGAAGCAAAATGTTTATGAAATAAACATAAAGGACCCCCTTCTTGTCCCGTGGAGAAGTTTCCCTAAGTTTCCTTATCGAAAACTAAAATTTGGAAAGTTTCTGATAAGGAAAAATGCTGAATTCTGGTTAGGTCCTGGCGTTTTTGGTGACGCTTGTTTTTCTCAAAAATTAGTTTTAATGGTTAATAGTGAGAAGAATAACAAGAACCCTACGATTGCCCTTTGAGAACTTTCAATTTAACTTTTATTTAACTTTCAATTTTTGATTAATTATAATTTCAGGTTATATTACTATATTATTCTTTATAAAAAATATAATTAAACTGTAAAAAGAAAATTTGTAGTTTATATAATTCATTAGAAAATATAATGAATTTAAATTATTAAGAATGTGAAAATAATTTTAAATATGTAGCAATCAATTCGAAGATATTAAAAAATAAAAATGTCTTATTTAATGGTAAAATCTCCTTGAACTTTGAGAAATTATTTTGTATGATGTTTTTGTAATACAAAAATTATTTTATTAAACGTTAATATATTACCAAATAGTGTATAAATGCCCCAGTCATTGACACTTTCTCCGTGGTTGGCACCCTGCTTGTTTTTTTAAATAAAAAGTAGTACTTATTTCAATACTCGATTTTTGTAATAAATGTTGTAAAATTTAATAATCGTCTTGTTAAAAAAAGGTCCGGTTTGCATATTCTCATTTTAATTTTCGGTTTCTACAGTCAATGTTAAAATTTTGGTCACTTTCCGGTTTTCAGGCCAATTCGCAAACCGGGTTTATTATTAATTGTTTATAATTTTGTACTTACTTTTATGCATAAAAGTTCAATCCATTAAAGAAAATACTACGTCATATGCAACGATGAAAATTATGAAAATCATAATAAAATTATTATGTGAAAAAAATTTCAGCCAATAACAATTGCAAATTTAAAAATAAGTTTAAATAAAAAAATTAATCTTTTTGTCTTATAAAATAGTATACTACACTAATACACAAATCTAAAAATCGATCACTCAAATTTTGCAGTACTAAAAACCAATATTAGTTCAGCATTGTATAACAAAAGCCACATTTTAATAGAATAATTACAATAAGTCATACTTTTTAATTTAAAAAAAACTCTAGAAAGATTAGTCGCTTATGCGCTGGAAAAGAATAAATTGAAAGTTTACTAACCATACTAAATAACCTCCCAACGATTCAACACAGAAATATCAAAATAATGAGCAGAGAATATAATTACTTTATGGCACAAACAAAGAAAGTTGAGACTTATTAAATTATTAAACCACGTGTCCGAATCAAAAGAAAATCTTGATTTGATGTTCATTATATATATTACAGACATATCAAAAATTTAAAAGTTAAACACATATGACAAATTCTGAAAAATAGTATTTATAGAAAAATTAACAAAAAATCTGACTTACCTCACTGTTAATGTTCACTGAATAGTCCCTTTTTTGGATGAAATATGGCAGCCGCAATTTCTCGTAAGCGCGAAATGAAAAAGAAAGAGGAAGGCGACGCGACTAGCAGAAAAGTCAGTGGTTCATGTGTGTAGGGGAAGTGTTACGCCACAGACATTGCCGTGTTAAGAAAAAAGCCCTTATGTATAGATAATTATTGAAAACTAACATTAAAAATTAACCTTATTAATAAAAACTTAGTTTATAAGATATATACAAAGATATTTCTGTGGTTGAAAAGCATAACAGCACAACTGCATTTGTCACGATTTTGAGAAAAATGAGTTTTAATATTCATTTAGCTCTGTCAAATCAGAAAATCAACGGATGTGTTTGGTATTTTTCATGTCATAATAAATTGTCAAAATTAATTTAATAGCGACGTACGAATCTGAGTCTGAAACAAATATATCTGAAGGAGATGATTTTAATTTAATATTTTTTGTGAAGATATCGAGAAGAATGAAGATACCTGTGATTCAAAAGAATTAATGAAAAGAGAAAATCGAAAAATTAGTCAAACTAATAAAAAATTTTATATTTTCTGACATTCCTTATTATAAGATAAAAAAATCGGACAAGTGCGAGTTACACTCGCATAAAAACCGAGGGTTCCGTACCCCTAATCCTAAAATTTGAGGGGTTTAAAGTGTGAAGGCCGATGGAAAAATTCCAATTTTGCTTAATTTTTCTTGTAATGTGAGCATGGAAATACATATCATAAGTTTTTAAAAATTTTTTAATTTTTTTATCATTTAACATTTTCAATTTTATGATTTTTTTAGATTTCACCAATTAATAAAAAAATATCAACAAATAAAAAATGTCAAAAGATAAAAAAAATAGCAAATGTTAAAAAAAAGAAAATGGCAAAAATGGCAAATTATAAAGAATGGCAAAACACTACAAAAAAATATAGCAAGCAAAATTGGAGTTCTCGCTATATTTTTTTGTAATCTACACGCAAAAATACGTAAAAGTGTATAAATTTGAAACTCTTTAGATAAAATATTCTTCGTTTTTTGAGGAAAAATCATGATTTTTATCGAAAATTATCAGTTTTTCCTTGAAAACACTATGATAATTAACTCCAATCGTTCTCGCTGTATTTTTTTTGTAATCTACAAGTAAAAATACGTAAAAAAGTATATATTTGGATCCCTTAGGATAAAATTTTCTTCTTTTTTTATTCGAAAAATCCATGATTTTTTCTAAAAATATGAGTTTTCCTTAAAAACAATATGAACATCAACTCCAATTGTGCTCGCTATATTTTTCCTGTAATCTACACGCAAAAATACGTAAATATACCAAATATGAACTGCCTTCGTCAAATATTGTGTGCGCTAGGAGGATTAATCGCTTTTTTTCAAAATTTTTGATTTTTCCTTGACAACGCTATGTAAATTAATCCGAATCATGTTCGCTATATTTTTCCTGTAATTTTCACGTAAAAATACATAAGTGTACCAAATTTGAGCTCTCTATGTAAAAAGATGTGGCAACCAGGGGGGGGTACATAGTCATTTTTAGGGATTTTTCGTAAAAATTCATGGTTTTTCCTTGACAACGCTATGATAATTAATTCCTATGAGATTCGCTATATTTTTCCTGTAATCTACACGCCAAAATACATATGTATACCAAATTTCAGCCATCTAGATAAATTCGTGTGGCCGCTAGGGGGGGGGGTACATGCCTTGCTTCACTAGTCTCATTAATAGGGTTCCCCCTTCGGGTACGGAACCCTAAAAATAAATAATAAATAAATAAATAATATTTTTATTTTAAAATATTACTTTAATTTTGTAGGTTACGTCAATTGTTTTTTTATTCTGAATGCAGTTATGCGCTTATACCTATCGCCTATTGCCAAAAGTGCAGTTATGCGATTAGGTTTTTCATCATTTTCTACTTAAATAGTTACATAAATGATTTTTCAACTATGAATCTTTGGAAAGCATTACTAAATGTACTAGAATCTGGTGTTATCTCAAATTTGATAAAAATGTCAGTTATGCTGTTATGCCTTTCAACCACAGATTTTATCCCTACACTATATTTTATGTAAATAAAAGTAATTTTTTTAAAAGCAGTTTTTATAAAAATCATCTGTATTTAAACTATATGCTGTTGATGACTTCTTTCTTATCGCGCGTATATACGGCAGTGCAGAATTCTGTCACAACAAATTTTAATAATTTTTTTACTTGAATTTTTGACAAATTATACGAATAAATAAAATAAATAAATAAACATTTTAATTATTTTTAAACATTCAATTAATTTATACTTGTAAAGTGTACAAAATTTCTAAATTCGCGGAATAACGGACCAACGTTTATCTAACCAATATCTAACAAAAAAGGCCCGTTCAAGAGGGGTTTTTGAAGCCTGCGCATACCGCAGCCGCGTGGTTTTAGCTATAGTCTACTCAGGTTTGGTTATCGTAGGTGTTTTCTATAATTGGTGGTTAAAGTAAAAAATGAACAAGTTTCGTTTTCTTTGTGCTTTAAATAAATCATGGATAATTCTAGACAATACAAAACAGAACGCCACTGTAATTAGTCCAAGCGTCACTTAAGACGTATTGTCAAAAAAATTAACAGAAGAAGAATGTCGCAATTTGCTGAAAAAAATTGATAACGATGAATCTGTATCCGAAACTCACAATGAAACCCTTGATAGGTAAGTAAATAATTTTTTTTATCTCAAATGTTTATATTATGCTCTTATAATGACATTAACATTTCTTAAATGTTTATTTACTTCAATGGTTTTTCATTTCATAGGTTATGTTGCGTTACGTTCTTTTTGATGATTGTACATACATACATACATTTTTATTTACATGTTAAAATAACATTTTATAAAATTGAAATACATAAATGTTTACTTGTGTCATTATAAATAACATAAACGTACGCACAGTGTTATATTTTCGAAAATATCAATATAACTGAAATGAATATTATTTGGAAAACTTTGTATTTTACATATTTTAATGCTTTCAGTTCTCAAGAAAAACGACCGTCTGCTGTTGATGCACAGTATATGGCAATGGATATTGAAGATTCTACTTCAGATTCTACTTCCAGTGATAAAAGTACAAGTACAGAGCATGGCGGTGTCTGTGAAGAAGTACTTGAGGATGAACTTCCTTCTTGCAGGTTATTGTAATAAACAAATTTTTTTCTGTAAAATATAATTGAAACACTGCTCCGTTAAATGCAGTGTCAGTTAATAAGTAGATTAATATTTTCCTTCTGAAATTTGAGGAAGTAAAATAGGCGGATTACGACGCAGATTATGGAAAACTGAGATAATTTTATCAATAGTATTGGGAAATTATGAAATTTTTAAGAACACTATGAATATTTTGGTTTGCTTGCCATATGTCAGGAAAAAGTAAAAAAAAAACAAAATTAAATCGAACGTACATAAGATAATTATTGTAGAAACTAGAACTCAAAATATCGCGCGTGTAGTTCTTCTGATGTTAAAACAAATATCTTTATTCTTAAATTTTATTATTTATAATTTACTTTTATCGTAGAAAATATTTTAACTAAAGTAGAACCTAAAATCTAAACCTAAAATCACTTTAATTTAAATCTTATCTACTTATATTTATTGTTATTTAAATAATTGAACATTTTAAAAACTTATACAAAACTTAGGCATCATTTGTATCTTACATAGAGTTAAAAATTATGAAAAATTATCTGAAGGAATTTTTGACAAAAAATCATAAAAGTTGTGAAAGAAACTAAATTTTAAGTGAATGTCCAGTAAAAAATCGTTGATAGTTTATTTTGTTTAGAGATGACAATTCATTTGATACTTTATAAGAATTAAAAAAAATATTCTGTTATCAAAAACTGAAATAATTAATTGTTAACAATTAAAAGATTTATTTTATTTCATAAAACTTATATTTTTTTAAATTGAAAATCTTCAAAATCTAAATATATTATTTTGTAGAATTATTATAAAAACGTACAAAAGTATTTGCTGTCAAAATTTATATAAATTATGAGAAAAGTTTAAAATTTCATTTTTCTATTATTTCAAATGTTAGGGGAGGATGGGGCAAGGATAGTTAAGGGGTAAGGATAGTTAGTTGCTGTTATGTTTAGACGGCTTGCTCAAAATTCGCGTCATTCATGGTATATTTGCGTCTTAACACCAATAGATGATAGTAAAAATTGGAAGTCAATCTGCCACCATTTGCGAAGTCAGGAGTTTATTTTTGTAAAAAGTCTGTTTTGCTAAAATGTCAACGTAGTGTTTATCATACTGTTTTCTATATTAGTGCTTCCGAATATTTATTTTCGTAAGTGTTTTCCGGAGTGAAATTTCCTGCTGAACACGAATATCGTATTTATTTTCAAATTAATTAACGTCGTTCCTTAAAATTTAGAAAAAACTGAAATATGGGCTCATGGGGCAAGGATAGTTAGGGCTATTACGGCTCGATAAAATCCTGCTAATGCGACTGCAAATTATAAAAAAATGTTTAATTGTTCTTTATATGTTGATATACATAATGGTATGTAATTAAATACGAAAAAAGAAGCTTATTGACCAAGAAATTGGTGATCATCTGAAGAAAATTGGTTAAACCTCAGATTTTAGTTCAGACGAATTTTAATGCAATAATTGATATTTAGAAAATGTTCAAAACATGTTGTTAATACTTGATATATCAATATTGAATAGTCTAAATCCAATAAAATAAAGAAACCGAAAATTTACTGATTTTCTATGACAATTTTAGCATTTGGATTCTTTTAACTATCCTTGCCCCGGTACTGGGGCAAGGATAGTTGAAATTTTTTTTTTACTTTTTCATTCGTATCTCGTAGGGATTGCACTCTACAGCAAAATAATGTATAGCAAAATTATAGCCAAATAACCAGGTTTTCTGAAGATACTATTCGATTGCTGATATATATTTAGGTTTGGCCGCTAGATTTGAAAAGGTCTTACCTAACTATCCTTGCCCCATCCTCCCCTATTTACAAAATTAATAAGTAAATAATTTT